AAGAGGACTCCAGGAATGTCATCAACAGCATGACCTTTGGGACCAAATCCAGCAACAAGAACTTCATCGTTCTCCTCAATACAATTCAAGCATCCATCATTAGGTACAAAGGCGGTGATTTTCTTGCCGTTCCTGATGAGCTGGACTCTGACACACTTTCTAACGGCAGAATTCGGCTGCTTGGCCTCAACACCCACTTTTTTCCAACACAATTCCCTTTGCATGAGATGCACCTCCAAAGAGGTTGGCCTTCAAAGCTGTGCCCAAATGGGCTTTTTTTGTACTGTTTATCATGCCACTTCTGGTCGTGCCAGTGGCTGCGCAGCTTCCTGGCGGTACGAAGACCTCGACACTTGCCCATGTCGGTGGGACTACGGGATCCAAGCGAAAGAGCCAGAGTGTTTCTTAGAGGTGAGGAAAACGAAGCTTTGTCTCACATACTTTGAACACGTGGTTAGGAGGGACTGTTCTTTGGAAATGTGCATCATGCTTAGAAAAGTGGAGGGTCAGCGAAGGAGAGGAAGACCCTCAATGTGATGGGGACTGCAACAATGGGCTCAAGTGTGCCAGAGAGGATGAGGATGGGCAGCGCAGGACAGGACTCATTTATGTAGTTCACAGGGTCGTTAACTATCCTACTCAATGAAGCAACATATAATAACTACAGAGAATCTCTTTAAAGAATGTAAAAAGTAAACATATACTGTAAGAACTAAAATGTGGCTGACCCAAGGCATGTTGTTGTTGTTGTGTGTCAGTTGATTGGAAATGACCCAAACCTGATCCTTCTCCCACAGAGCAGCTGGTGGATTTGAACCATGTGCCTTTGGGATTGCTGCACAGCTTCTTACCGCCAGGCCACAAGAGCTCCCTAACCAAAGGTATGGTAATTTCAATTACTTTACATGCATGTGAAAGTTGGGCAATTAATAAGAAAGAATTTACAAATCTGAATTAAGAAGTCAGGGAAGAGAGGTGAACATTCATTCTAGGGACTGACAGAAAATGAACAACTCTGTCTTTGGAAAACCACAGTCAGAATGCTCCTCAGAGGCAATGATGGCCAGACTTTGCCTCATATCCTTCTGGGTATGTTATCAGGAGGGACTAGTAGTCATTGGAGAAGTACTGCGTGGTTGGTAAAGCACAGGGTCAGCAAAGAAAAAGACAGCTCTGAATTAGACAGACTGACACGGTGTCCCCAGTCATGGGCTCAAGCAGAGCCACAATTCTGAGGATGACACAAACCAGGCAGCATTTGTTCAGCTATACACAGACTGCTGTGAATCTGAATCAACTGGATGATGCTGAAACAGCAAAACCACATCATGACCACATTGAAAGAACATTAATACAGACACATATTGTTTGGGCATTATCAATTTGATCCAGTAATATGACGTTTAGTATTCAAACATTTTGTTCTAAACCAAAAGGTTCTTTTCACTCACAAAGGCCCCATTAGTCTTTAACAGGCAAGTATGTTTTCTTTTGGCTTCAGGAAGATACTCATAAAACTCATTGTCTTTGAGTCGGAACCAACTTGAAGTTGACCTTCCAGCAGGTTTCTGCCCTGTCCTGAGTCAGTCTCACTGATTCCAACACACCTAATCCCATTGTCCCATTTACGAGTCAATCCATCTCACCCAGGGTCTTCCTCTCCTGTGCTGTCCCTCCACCCTTCCAAGGATGATGTCCTTCTCCAAGGATTGGTCCCTCCTGGCCACATGCCCAAAGTTTGTGAAACGGAGCTTCAAAACCCTTGCCACCAAGGAGAAACTTGGTTTAACCATCTCTATGACCCATACCTGACAATTCAGCGGTTTTTCTTTTTGCATGGGAGGAGATAAGCCATCCATCACCCACAGAGCAGCTGGTGGATTTGAACCATGTGCCTTTGAAGGACCTGGATGAGATGTATTGACTCAGTAAGTGGGACAATGGGATTAGGTGTGTTGGAGTCAGTGAGATTGACTAAGGATCTATTTGTTTTCTTGGCAGTCCATGGTATGTTCAAGACTCTTCTTCAGTACCACTAGTCAAAGACATTGACTTTTTCTTCTGTCTTCCTTAGTCACTGTCCAACTCTCTGATGTGTAGCAAATAACTGTGAAGGTCATGGCCTGGATCAGGTGCACCTCAATCTCTAGGCTGACATCATCACTTTTTAGCACTTTGAAGAGGTCCCTCACAGCAGACTTCCCCAGTGCAATCTGTCTTTTTATTTCCTGACTGCTGGTGCCAAGCAATTGTGAAGCCAAGGAAGCTTAAACTGTTAACAATTTCAATTTCTATAATAGATATAATATAAAATGTCAACCTGCCTTATAGTAAAAGACAGTACTTTTAGCATGTTTTTATTTGCATTACAATCAGTCATAACACAAGTATTGTATCCTTGGTGTGCTAGATTACAAAAGAGATACATAACATGGCTTGAATATCTGCATGACTACTTCATAGGGCAATAAAGACTCAAAAGTCACTCTCATTCTTACAATCTTTCCACTAGAGCAGTGACAAACAGCTGGGTGCCAAAAGATGTATGTGGCCTAAATAAGCTATTGATAAGGTCTTTGATCTAATCTCAAGAATCCCCTTTGTTTTTCAGATAGCAGAACTAAAGCCTTTATGAAAAGTTAACAGAGGTGACAGAGCGGATAGGGCTCAAGAGAGTAAAATAAGAAACAAATGACTTGAAGGAACTCTAAGTGTTTGGTGGTAGGGACGTCTGGAAGCCCTGGTGTCTTGTGAGTAAGTGCAAGATGAGCTTGGGTGTTCTGTAAAGTGGCCACAAAGCACAGTCACTGGAGAATGTATGACCAAGTAAGTGACCAATGGAATCCCCTTGAATGATAATAGGGAGATAAGCATAGACCAAGGAATAAGAAGAATTAAGGTGAGTAGAAAAAGTCTAATCTAGGAATAAGTTGCAGCTAGTCTTAATAATCAGTAGCCCCGGTACAGGGGGATGTAGTGTTGTGTTTCTTGTGAGGAAGTCTGGTGGACAAGTTCAATGAAATGAAAAAAGGAGATGAAATTCTCAGGGCCCCAAATACCATAAAATGTGAAATATTATCAATTCATTTGATGCAATATTATTTGCAATACAACTCAAACATCTAAGGATATAAAATTAAAACTCAAGAACAAGAGGAATGAAGAGAAATTATTATCTTGCATTTTAGTAGCGAAACATTTCACTCCATAAAAGACAAAATAAACATGGTTACATCCTATCTCAGCAATTCCATTATTCAAAAAGAATATTAATAACATGTAAGTCTTTTAACTAAGTAAAATTTACCAAACTGAAAATAAACTACAAAAAATGTTAGGCATAGCTGTAGTTTTTAACTTTCCAGTAAAATGTCACTTTTTTTTAACTGTCTCAATAAATTTTCTTTTTCTTAAATGCTATCTTAAGGCATTTAATTTTTTTCTTTTTCTTATGTCTGCTAAGGGGAGTTCTGGAGGCTTCTTCTTGTTGTTGTTATTATGTGCTGTCGAGTCATCTGAGACTCATAGCAACCTTATGTACAACAGCCCTAAAACATGCTCTATCCTGTGCCTATCTTATTATTTCTGATACATCTACCCTCATTGTATCAGTCACTGAATCAATCCATCTCATCGAGGTTCTTCCTCTCCTGTGCTGTCCCTCCACCCTCCCAAGCATGACGTCCTTCTCCAAGGGCTGATCCTGCATTGCAACATGTCCAAAGTATGTCAGATGAATCTTTGCCTCTAAGGAGCAGCCTGGCTTCACCCTCTCCAGGACGAATTTGTTTGTTCTCCTAGCAGTCCTTGGTATATTCAATACTCTTCTTCAGCACCACTGCTCAAAGGCATCAGTTTTCCTTCTATCATCCTTAGTCTTTGTTTTCTTGATGTTGAGCTTAAATCCATATTGAAGGCTGTAGTCCTTGACCTTCTGCAGCAAGCTCTTCAGGTCCTCCTCAGTTTCAGCAAGCAGGGTTGTGTCATCTGCATAAGGCATATTGTTGATATGTCCACCTCCTACCCTGATCTCACATTTCTTTTCATAGAGCCCACCCTCCCAGATGTAGATGAAAGGATACAGAGATAGGACACATCCTTGACACACACCCTTCCCAATTTTGAACCATGCAGTGTTTCCTTGCTCTGTTCTGATGACTGCCTCCTGGTCCAAGTATAAGTTTCGCATTAGCTCAACCAAGTGTTCTGGGATTCCCATTCTTCTCAGAGTCAGCCACAGTTTGTTGTAATCCACACAGTCAATGCCTTTGCATAGTCAATGAACCAGAGATGGACATTCCCCTGGGACTCTCTGGAGACATAGTGGTAAGGAATTATACTTCCAACACAAAGATATACAGTTCAACTCCACAAGCTGCTCCAAAGATAGGCAGTCCAACTCCCATGTGATATACTGCCTGTGAAAACCTGATAGGGAGTCAGTTATAGGTCACTTTTGACTTGTTGGTACACAACAACAATAACAACCATGCAAAAGTTCTATTATCATTGTCCTAGGCTTATGTCCACAGTGTGCAAAGAAAATATTACCAAAAATGATTAAGAATCTGGTCAGTAACAAACTTGCCAATTTTCATTTATGTGAAAATTGCAGCTAAGTTTTTCTTTATTATAATGCAAAACTTTCACAGTGATCTTAAAATAATAGGACTTGCAGCTACATTTTGTATTGAGAAATCTCATTTCTAATTATTACATTTACAGCTGTCAAAGTTGGCATGCAAATAAAAATCTGTGACCACAACATCTGTTTCTCTACTAACTAGACTTTAAATATGACCCTGTAAATTCATATTTTAATTATTCTAATAATATCATTTATAACTTGAAAATTATCAAGAGGAACTTTCTTAATGTTTTAATGCACTTCTTTTGCACCATGAAGACTTTTAAACATTTCTATCAACTTACATTAATATTTCAAATTCTTTTCTAAACTAGTTTCAGAAAGCATTTTCAAGTAGCTCTGACATTTTTACCTGCTCAATAGCTCTGTCTCTTTCCAGAGAGAGCAACATTTTCTCCCTTAGTAAAGTGTGGTGCTTCTCATGTAACACTCTTATAGTTGGCTCATAAGATGCGTAATGTAACTTCAAACTGTGTTGTAAAAAAAATGACAAAAAAGAAATATTGCATTAAAGCTGTGATTGCTATATAATGTTGAAAAATTTCTCTGTCTGTTTGCTTACATGGTAATAAAAATAATCATTATGAGGTCAATACACCAGAACCAAAAAGAACAAATATTATTACTTAGGACGCAATTTCAACACAATTTAATGTGGAGATGATGAGGAAAGGACCACATTTATTAACTATTTCTCCACTTTCTAATAGTAAATTTAACTGTATTAAATGTTATGTGCCGTTGAGTCACCTGCAACTCATAATGACCCTATTTACCACAGCCGTAAACCTTACTCTATCCTGTGGCAATCTCACTGTCTCCGATACCCCTACCCCCAATACGCCAGTCACTGAATCAACCCACCTCATAGAGAGTCTTCCCATCCTGCACTGTCCCTCTTCCCTCCCAAGCATGACGTCCTTTTCCAAGGACTGGTCCTGCCTTGAAACATGTCCAAAGCATGTCGGGTGATGCTACAGAATCTTTGCCTCCAAAGGTCAGCCTGGTTTAACCATCTGAAAGAATGAACCTGTTCATTTTCTTAACAGTCCATAGTATAATCAATACTCTTCTCCAGCACCACAGCTTATGGGCATCAATTCTTTTTCTATCTTC